GGAGTTTTCCTTTACCGTCTTTTGACGAACCGAGCTTCCGTGAGGATTAATGCCCCCACCCCCACCCCCGAAGGCTCTCAGAAGGCATTACATTTGCACAGACCTGATGTGGGGTGCAGCGATGTACAGGACAAGGGGAAGGAGGAGGAGCAGGAGCAGGACCCCAATCATCTCGCGGGGCAGCAGCGAAGGGAGATGCGGCGGCAGAGGGAGATACCCCGGCGGCGCTCACTCAGCGGCTTCCCTTCCTAGACGCACCCGAGGAAAGGAGGCAAAGCCGGGGAGCAAAGCCTTCTGGGAAATGTAGTCCAAAGCCTGGCCTGGGCCAACCGGCGGTGAGCTCGCTGCTCCCAGGCGCCGAGAAGATGCACCGGGCGCCAGAGGCACTGCGGGTCCCCAGCCATCTAGGGTGCAGGGCCTTTGGGTCATCCAGCCAGCTCCCCCACAGCCCTGCTGGCCACCAGCCGTTCTCGGGAAATCTCCCCGGACCTCTGTATCCCGGTGACCAAGTCTAGACTCCGATTCACTGTTCCTCAACCATCGTTAGGCAGGTACCACGTCGTTTGTGGAAATAAAATATTGGCATCTGCGAAATGCTTTAAGGCCGGTTACGCAGGAGAGGAGCGGTTTGAGCCTGGCAGTTGGTAAGGCACGGGGAGGTGAGAATTCTTCCTCCTTAGGGATTCCAACGGAGCGGAGACAACTGGTCCCTGAACTCATTCCCAGGAGAACCACTTTATTGTGTCTATTTGGAATTATAACGGTACCCGTCATAATTTTCCTGGTGTTTGACGATTAATTGATAATATGATTTTCTTGATGGCTTGGGTTAGTTATAGTAACTCCCAGAGTAGCAACGAATTTCTCAGGTTAGCAGCACAGTTAGTTTTGCCAGTTCATGAAACTGTTTAATCCTGTCTTCAGTTAAGGCCATGAATATTACCTGGGAATTAAGCAGGTCCCCTGTTCAGTCATTTCAGCTCTGTCATCTGAACCTGTATCTGGGTTCTAGAAGGTGAAGGTGGGGGATGTTTAACTATCAATATCTGGCTGTGATTCTTGATTGCACCACACTAATGTATTCTGGATCTTTCTTCCAGATAATTCATTTCCATTTGACTGAAAGACACGTTACAAGGTCAGTTTGAATGATGAGAAAGTGGCGCAACTGGAACTCTCATACATTGCTTTTGAGAATGTAAAATCGTGGGACCACTTTGGAAAACAGTTTGGCAATTTCTCAAAAAGTTAAATATGCCCGGCCAGGCATGGCTCAGTGGTTGGTGTTGACCTAGGATCCAGGCAATCGGGGTTTGATTCCTGGTCAGGGCGCATGCCCGGGTTGCAGGCTTATCAATGACTCATCATTGATGTTTCTATCTCTCTCTCTCCCTCTCCTTTCCTCTCTCTGAAATCAATAAAGATATATTTTTTAAAAAAAGTTAAATATGTTAAATATACACCTATTGTGACCCCTAGGTAATTCTCCAAGAGAAATAAGTTACTTATATAGACTTGGATATGAATGATTATAGAAGCTGTATTTGTCGTAATCAAAAACAGGAAACAAACCAGATGTTCATCAATAAGTGAATGGACCAAACAAATTGCGATGTATCCACACAATGAAATACTACTCATCAATAAGAAGGAATAGAGTTTTGATGCACTCAACAGCCTGAATGAGACTCCAAATAGTTGAGTGCAAGAAGCCAGATAAAAAAAAAAAGAATGCATACTTTAGGATTCCATTTATATAAAATTTTAGAAAACGCAAACTGTAGATTGTAGATTGTGGTGATAGAAAGCACACCACTGGCTTCCCAGGGATGGGAGGAAGTGAAGAAAGATGGGAGGAAAGGTTTTACCAAAAGAAATGAGGAAACTTTGGGGGGTGATGGGTATGTTCATTGTCTTGACTGTGGTGATAGTTTCACGAGTGTATACAAGACTCATCAAATTGTATACTTTAAACATGTGCAGAGTATTGTATGTCAATTATACCTCAATAAAGCTGTTAAAATGGGAGTAGGAACTGATCAAGTGTACCATGCTACTGAGAAGTCAAGAAACATAAGAACTGAAACATGTCCACTAGATTGAGCATCACATAAGTCCTTGGTGACATTGTGGAGAACAGCTTCATAGAAATGACAGGTGGAAGCCTGATTGGAATAGGCTGAGGTGTGAGTAGACAGGAGGAAAGTGTAGCCAACTCTTTCAAGCCGGAATGAGAAGAGATGTTAGTATCAGGAGGGGGAGGTGGGATGGTAGGAGCCTTTTTAAAGAAGAAAAAGTTGAAGATAAAGGGGGGATAGGAGATAAGTGATAGAATAAGGTCCTGAGAAAGCAGGAGATGATAGGCCAGAGAGAAATTCATCTTAGGAGGAAAGGAAGATATGATGAACATAAATTCAAATAGACTTGCCAAGATAATGAAGAATTTTCCTTCTGATGGTCCCTATTTGTGTGTGTGTAAAGAAGCCAGGAAGCATGCTGACACTGAGGGGGGTGGGTAAGAAGTTTAAGAAGGGTAGCAAAGCCGGGCCGGGCGTGGATCAGCAGTTGAGCGTCGACCTAGGATCCAAGCGATCCGGGTTCGATTCCCGGTCAGGGCACATGCCCGGGTTGCAGGCTCGATCGATGACTCTCTCATCATTGATGTTTCTATCTCTCTATCCCTCTCCTTTCCTCTCTCTGAAATCAATAAAGATATATTTAAAAAAAAAAAAAAGAAGGGTAGCAAATGTTTGAAATAATCATTGTGGAGATTAAGGAAAAAAAAACATCGACAGTTTTATTGGAGGCCTGGGTGATGCTGGTGGCTATGTATAGGGTGGGGCAAAAGTAAGTTTACAGTTGTTCGTATGGAAAATAATACAATAATAAATAATAATACAGAATAAGCTCTGGTTTTCACGGACTCACAACTGTAAACCTCCTTTTGCCCCACCCTGTATTTATAATGACATCACCATGCAAGGTGATAGGATTTTTCTTTAGCAGCTCTCACCAGCCAGCTGCACAAAGAAGACAGATGTATTCATCCAAAGTTGGGGTTTATTAGGCTCTTGGGACAGAAAGACAAAAGAGCCAGGAGGAGAAAGATATTGGCAAGGGAATGACTGAAATGATGAGTGTGAAATCCTAGTTGGATGATTCAAGGAAGCAACGACAGGAGGGACTTACAATTGTCTGGAGGTCCTCCTGGGGTTAAAGAACTGCTACGTTGGGATTCATGCTACAAGAGAGCTAGGTGAGTAGAAGGGTGGAAGGTCTGAATATAGAACTTTAGAGATGGGTGGTTCCAGGTGCTGGCAGACTGAAGGACAGGGTGAGGTAGAAGAGAACGTCCTGGAGATGAGGACATCAAGGGCCTGAAGGTCTAGGGAGCTGCTGGCTCATCTGTAAAGATAATGAAGTCGCTATAAACGTGTGTAGGAGTCTCTGTGTACATATATGTTTTCACTTATTTTGAAGATATAGCTAATGATGGAATTGTTAGGTCATATGTTTAATTGTTTGAGAAACTATCAGACTGTTTTCCAAAGAAGCTATACTGTTTTACATTCCTACCGGCAGTGTGTGGGGTTCCAATTTCTCTCTATCCTTGTCAACACTTGTTTTTGTCTGTATATTGATTTTATTTTATTTATATTTATTTATTTATTTATTTATTTATTTATTTATTTATTTATTTAAATCCTCACCCAGGGATATTTTTTTTTCATTGCTTTTCAGAGAGAGTGGAAGGGGGAGAGAGAGAGAGAAACATCAATGTGAGAGTGCAGCATCAGTTGGCTGCCTCCTACATGCCCCCCATCAGGGATCAAGCCTGGGCATGCGCCCCATCCAGGGATCTAACCAGTGACCTTTTGGTGCATGGCACTCAACCAACTGAGCCACACCAGCCAGGGCCTTTGCCCATTTTTAATTGGGTTATTTATCATTGAATTGAGTAAAGTCAGGATTTTGAGCCCAGGAAGTCTGTCCCCACACCTGTAGGCTTAACTCTCATGCTTCTGGGCTTCTTACTATACATCATGGTTACAGAGTGGTACAAATTTTGTTATTTACTTTATGTAAGAAGTGGGTGAAAAGCCATTTAAAAGCTGGAAAACAGTTTCTTTTAGAGGTGAAAACTGTCTTGGTTTAGGAAAACATGCTTATAGCTCCCTCAGGAAGGAAGGGGAAGCAGAAGCAGTTTAATAATTAGACATAGATAAATTTAGACATAGCTAAATTGCCTCATATGAGAAAAGAAAGGCATTTGAGAGGTTTCAGTGAACAATCAAAAAGGATAAAAGGCTCTTCAGACGAGAGTTAACGAAACATCACGTTGAATGCTTTAAATATCTTACCATTTTATTTGTTAATTAGACCTCATTAAAGCTAAAAAGAGAGAGAGTTAAGATAAATGTCAGGGTCCTGGCTGGTTTGACTCAGTGGTTGGAGCGTCGGCCTGTGGACCCAAGGGTCTCAGGTTCGATTCCTGGTCAAGGGCAGGTACCTCGGTTGCAGGTTCCCCGCCTGGGTCCAGACACGTTCGGGAAGCAACCAATTGATGTGTCCCTCTCACGTCAGTGTTTCTCTCTCTCCCGCCTCCTCCCCCCTCCCACTTTCTAGAAATTGGTGGGAAAATTTTCCTCAAGTGAGGATTAAAGAAAAAAAGTTTAATCCTCTCAATTACCAAGGGAAGGGGAATTTAAACACCCATAAAATAACATTTTAAAATAAAAAAAGAAAGAAAAATATCAGGGACAAGAGCTTATAGAATAAAGTGGCTGGTGAAAAATGGTCAGTGGCAGGGCGACGGAAGGACTTTAAGAACAGAGCTGTTTAAAGTTTAGTATTGTTATTTATGTTGCTGAATTGTAAACCCTTTTCATCATCCCAGACCTTTTTTGAAAGTCTACTACACACACAATGTAAGCCCCAGGAATTCACAGAAATCTGTTCTTTTATGATGAAGGGAGAGGAGGGAGGAAAGGAGAGGTTTATAGTTCTTCCTCCTGCTCTAATTTTAAGAGGGTACTTTCTAGAGTAACCAGGACAGGGATGACCAGGTGGCGAGTGCACTAGGACCCCACTTAAATTCAGACCAGAGGGCAAGTCCTCCAGCCCCTGCCCAGCTTCCAGCGGCCCTGCCCTCCGAGGACAGTGTTACCCCCAAGCTGTGATTCACATCAGGAGGAGCGTGTC